GGGCAAAAGCTGCATTAAACGCAAAGGATGCTCACACCAAATGTTGATTTCATTTAGATAATAGAAGTTAATTGATAAAGTAAATCTATTTATGACATTATTTTTGACAGAATCCTCATTTTACAGTATTTTTACACAAGTGCTTAACTTTTAACAGTACTGAAGTTTTGCAGGTTCTTGGAGACGTTGCCACAATATACACTAGTCAACATTTGAAGTCGATCAAAACCTTTCATCAAAGTTGTCCTAAAACCTAAACCTAAAATGTGTTCTTGTTTCAGGACAACTTTGAGGAACTTTTTTTGATCCTCTTCAAATGTTGACTACTGTATATATTTATGATACATACACCGATATGAACTTTCAAGTGTCTTGCCAGTGACATGCTTAAGCTATTTCAAATATATATATTTTGCTTTTTTTTTATGGTCTCTATTAATTCAGTGACTACCAAGGCTGCATTTATTTGATTAAAACCCATTTAAATGAAAACATGATCCTATAGAAATCATTCTAATATGCTGGTTTGGTGCTTAAGAAACATTTATTATTAGCAATCTTGAAAACAGTTGTGCTGCTAAATATTTTTTTGTTGAAACCATTATATATTTTTTTCTTTGATAAAAAAATCTAAAGAACAGTATTTACTTAAAGGGGTCATATGATGCCATTTAAATTTTTTCTTTCTCTTTGGAGTGTTACAAGCTCTTGGTGCATAAAGAAGATCTGTAAAGTTGCAAAGACTAAAGTCTGAACTTTTATAAAGAATATCTCTTTGGATTTTAGAGTCAGCCACACCTACCTAAAACGGCTCGCGCCGAGCGCGCCTTTCTCGACCCCGCCGCCTCAGCTCACTCTTGCCCGGCTTCAGCTCAGGCTAAGACGGGGCTTTCGCTCACGTTAGGCCGCTGTGTTTTTCGTTGTGAAAGCGAAACTACTTTGTTTGGTCTTCCAAAAGAGGACACGACTACAAATCAGTGGTTAAGTTGTATTTACAGCACTGTTCCAGAACAGTTTAACCCAAATATTCAGATGTGTGCAGCGCATTTTATGGAGGACTGTTTACTGATCCTGGAAGAGTAGACTACAATGCCGGCAGTTCTGACTCAGTCTGTAAGTACGTTTTCATTTAAAGGATTTGCCACTGATGATTCAAACGCGAGTTTTGGGCAGTGTAGAGTAGCACTTGTTGTTTGTCATTTCTCTGATCACAAATGCAGACCGTTTGTTTACGCGGCGCGATGCAATGCGTAAAAAGACAGTGTAAGTCATTATAATCAGTAATTATGTCCCCACTGGATGCAACAAATGCTTCGTTTGTAATGGGTTTTAATGTTTTTGTCTTTTCGCTCCGGCCTGGACACGGCGTCAACAATATGGTTAGGGGCGTAACATTTCCGTCACACGCTTAAGGTATTCGGCGAATCACAACACACTGGATAGCTGGCCAATCAGAGCACACCTCGCTTTTTCAGACCGATGAGCTTTGTAAAAATCGACGCGTTTCAAAAAGGCGGGGCATAGAGGAGAAACAATAATGTACAGTATGTGGAAAATGTGTTTTTTTAACTTTAAACCGCATAAACACATTTCATTACACCAAATACACAAAATAATGTTCTTTTTAGCAGCATCATATGACCCCTTTAATATAAATCTTTTGTAACATTATAAACTTTTCTTTAAAAAAAAGCTTACTCTTCATTCTGTAAATAGAGTGTGAAATTAAGTTTATAATAAAATGCTGTAATTGTGGATATTATTACAGAGATTTTCTCTCCCTGCACCCAGGTCTCGACGTTCACCCTCTCCTGTACGCCGGCGCAGAAGTCGTTCACTATCAAGAGAAAGAGAAAGGGAGAGAGAGCAGGAGAGGAGGAGGAATCGAGAGCGAGAGAGACAGCATGAACAGGAGAAAGAAAGAGAACGAGAGCGAGAACAAAGAACGAGGGCGCCACCCAAAGATCCCACTCCTCCACGGCGCTCTTCATCATCATCATCTTCCTCCAGTTCGTCCTCTTCAGCCTCGCCCTCTCCTCAAAGACAGATGAAGGGTGTGAAGTCTACAGATGCAGAGAAAGACAGATCAAGGGAAATTGATGAACAGAAAAAAAAAAAGCAACCAGAAAGGAACTCGAAACATCCGTCTCCTTCCCCTCCTAAAGACACCCGTGTCCATTCCAACCAATCGCATCATCGCTCCCGTGAACCACCTGTCCGTTCTAGATCACCAGTGACCAACCAGTCACAAAGCAGGGATCCACCTGGTGACCGATTAAGAGGCCAGTCCCCATCATCTGTTCATGAGCAGCACCACGGACCGCCAACGAGAGGAAAGACTGCTGTGAATGGGAAACCAGAGAAGGAGACCTCTGGCCAACAGCAGAAGAGAAGCAGCTCGAGTTCTTCTTCTTCATCTTCCTCATCGTCGTCCTCATCTTCATCATCATCATCATCCGACAGCTCAGACTCTGAGACAGAGAAAGCCAAAGGGTAAGTGCCAAATCATTCTGCATTTATTCAGTTAAATTTATATTTATGGTACCCTTCATTTCAATGTTTATTTTCCAGGGGTGTTAAAGCAAGTACAAATAAAGAAGCTAGCAAGAAGGCCAAAAGCCGAGCTTCTTCATCATCGTCATCCTCGTCAGAAAGTGAACAAGAAGATAAGACAAAAAGGTAGAATATTTAGCTTTTTTTCCCTCTTCTGTTAAAGAAATGTAGAATTTTCCACTGCATTTAATTCAAATTCAAAATTGACCCTCTAGGTTTGCATGCATGAACCAACAATCTTACATTTTCAGTTTTAGGTTACTGAATTATCGAAATAACTGAAAATGCCATATGGCAAATCACATTGGCTGCGATTTAATTAAAGAAATAAATATGCACTGTGTTTTAGAGTAAAGCACTGTGTTGTTTTACACGAAAGCAGCTCGTAATCCAGTGATTTCAGCATCTCAGAGTGGCTTGGTTTACAGCAAATTCTGCCACACACAAATTCCTTTCTACATCTTCTCTGAATCTGGGTCACTTGTAATGTGTGTTTGGGAACACAACATGAACCACATTCCCAAACTCGTGATGAGGAGCACTTATGAACTGCCTGTTGTCAACAAAAGAGAAGCTTTAAGTGCTCTCGGCACTTTTCCACCAAAATAAAATCCCAGTTGTTTTGTTTTAAAAATCTGTGCTGTAAAATACAATGAATATTATTTTTCTTATAATATTTTTATTTTACAGTGAATTTACAATTGTAATATTTCCTGTTTTTTATTATTTAGTAATAAAAAAAATAAAATTCTTATTTTTTACAGTCTTATTGATATAATTTCAAGGTTTTGGTCAAATTGTCCAGCCCTTTAAACAACCACGGGAAACTTGGATCTATAAAAAAAAAAAAACACACATTTTAAATGGCAGTTGATCATAAAAAAACTTCTGTGAATAATGAAAAAGTAATAAATTAATAGGAAATTAAGCTTTTTTTTAAACTTCTGTCAAAAGTTAACAGTAATTTAATGCCAGATTTAAAAAAAAAAAGGTAATGAATATGACAAAAAAAATTCTGTCTTCCCCCATGCAGTATCCCTTTTCAAACTGAAACAAGTCGCATTAGATAAATTGTTCAGATGAATTGCATCCCATTTTACTGCTGTACTCTAAAACACTGTCCCAATCATTTCCTTTGAACTCTGCAGTCCTCCACGGCCCAAGAGAGTGCCAGCAGACTCACTGAGAGACTCTCGGTCACTCAGTTACTCCCCTCCAGCGAGGCAACGAAGACCTGCACATTCTCCACCCTCACGACGGTCAGTTCTGAACAGATCTACATATTATTACTGTCGTTTTCAACCCACTGCTCTTGCTAATATTGATCTTAATCTCTGTTTTCCACCAGCACTGCAAGCAGGAAGTCGAGAAGCAGATCTCCAGACAGTCGACGGAGGAAATAAGTGAAACCTTTTTTGTTTTCTGGACTCTCTTATCTGACCCTCACTGGACAGAATCATCTCAGTATCACACGAATGAGACTGGAAATGTGACTAGTTTTAATGGTGATATTTTCACCATTAGTAGAGGAAGGTCTCTCAAAACCTGGTTCCTTGTAACTAGTCCCAAAAGGGAGGATTTATTTTTACTTTTATTATGGTGTAATTAATGTTTAAGGAGAGGCCAGCTGAGACACTGAAGCTCTCAACAACTATTGCTCTGTGCCAACAGATGCTGGATGCTATTTGTACACACACACACACACACACACACACACACATACACAAACAAACAAAATCACACGTGTCCGGTGGTTTTCTGTCTGCCTGTCTGCTACATTGTTCTGAATGTAGATGAACATCTGTAATTTGGTGATCAGAATGGACTATATTCTGTTCATGCATATGTGGACAGAGTCTGTTTCTTTGTTTATTTGTGGAAAAAAGAATTGTGAATAATAAAATGGCAGTAGGATCTTCTTGTCTGAACATTTAGTTTGTGGCACTGAAGATGAAGCTGGTGCTAATACACAGCACATTGGAAACCATATATTCATACATACAGAGGTTTATATATTCTTTAAAACTGAAGTGTAAATTTAGAAAAAAGACATTTTCTCATTGGTAAGACGAACGATTGGTCCTGACCCATTCTCATGTGTTTGATGTTATTATATCAAGATAATAAACAATATAAATGATATAATATGATGTAAGATATGATGATAAAAAATGTGCCATAATTTCTTTTTGATGACCACAATTTTATTATTTACCATAGTATTTTGTAGGAAACTGCTTACGGTTTCCTACAAAATACTATGGTCAATAATAAAATTGTGGTCATCAAAAAGAAATTATTTTGAAAGATTAATATAATATTTTGCAATATTCATGTGTAGTGTACAGTCGTAATAACCATAGACTCTATAAAAACAGGTAATATCGAAGGTAATGTGGCTAGTCACCACGCTAACTGTTGTAGCGGGCGAGTTATCTGTAGAGGGCAGGTTGTATATTGCGTCATATTTACGCGACGCTGTTTGAACGAGCAGCACGAAAAGGCTTTGTATGGGAATTGGTCGAAGATTTTCCAAGTTAAATTAATAGTTTAATAAACTCCAGGAACATGGGTCCAGTTGAGGTAAGCAGCAAGCAGAATTTTTTTAATCACCGAAAACTATAGAAAACATCGTTCAGCCTGCAGTGTAACGTTACTCGTACATTTTTAGCAGTTTCCACAAATGGCTCATATACATTTTTATATGCCAATAATTGTATTAATGCACATAGAAATGTGTGAATAACTGTCATCCTGGTCCGTGGCACGTTCTCTCTCCAGCTGCTGCATATGTCCGTGTTCTCTCAGAGTTTCTCTCCCTGCGGGCGTTTCCTTGCAGCGGGTAACAACTATGGAGAGATCGCGGTGTTCAGGTAAGAGAAGAGTTTAATCATTCATTTATAACAGCAGTTTAGGTGGCGTTGTTAGCCAGCAGGTCTCATAATGTTGGTTGATGTGCGTGTGTAAGCATCTTCTGTCTGTATGTATTGCTTGTTGATGTTGAAGTGTTCTTGTACTCACTAGTCTCGTTCTTACAGTCTTTCAGCTGCACTGAGTCCAGATGCATCAGAGGGGAGCCAGAAGCCCATCCTTAACTTCACTGGTTAGACTGAGATTGATTTTCTCACAGATCATTTTACGATTAGGCTCCTAGATTATCCAACTCGCAAACATTACAGTTTCCAGTGTTGCAACAATGACAAGTGAAAGGGCTTTTTAATTGTTTCAGCTCATGATGGTCCGGTGTTCACTCTTCTCTCCACGGACACTCATCTCCTGAGTGCTGGGAACGGAGAGATCAGTGCCTGGAGTTGGGCAGAGCTCATCAAAAAAGTGAGACCAATAAACTCCAGGAACACAAGTACTTAAGTACACAAGTTCAGTAAATGTATATTTCTTTTCAATGTTGTGCTTTGTACATATGGATCCTGTAAAAACAACAAAAATTTGCTCAGCGCATATTTGATATATTTTTGTCTCCACAGAGCACCAAAGCTGCATGGACAAGGAAACCCAGTTATGAGTGAGAAACGGATTATCATTCTGATTCACATATACTGCTGCATACACTCAAGATAGCGATAGTTCGGTTTTATGACTTTCATTATTGTGGGAACTACCTGAATGTGATTTGAAATGTTTGTGCAATGTCTCATTCCATACAGGACTAGTCTTGAAATACCAGAGATCAATGCAATGATCATTAACCCAAAGGTTTGTTCTTCACCTATTTTTGTTGGTTATTCTTTATACATGCTCTTCCTTAAAGGCACAGTATGTAATTTTCGCCGCTAGAGGGCGCGTATTCATAATAAACAAAGAGGCAAAGGCGTAGTTTGATGACGCTGTGACTGAGTGTGGAATCATGGGAGTTATGTCTTCATCCCCACAGCCGACGCAATCGGGACTCGGGCAGAAATCATGTTCATGGATGAGCTAATGATTTATTAATGTAGTATAATAAAGCAGGGTGAGGCTGAAAGCCGTCGAAGCACAACGATGCGCTGAACAAGCGTGACACTGTCACTAGTTAAAATTGCTTATTTCTCTGGATCTAAACATTCTTCGAAACATTTGGGATAATGTAAGTACACAAGTCAGCAAAATATATAACACTGTTCTAGTGGTTTTTGGATATTTTAATAAAAAAATCTTACATATTGTGCCTTTAAGTAATCATATTTTGTAGTTACCTGTAATAAATGGTTTTATTAAAATTAGATTGTTTAACACAACATTCGTTTACATTGCTTAATTTCCATAAAGTTTAATTATGTATTTGTGTATGTCTAAGTACCTTAAAGTTGATCAATTAATGCTCTTTTTTTTGTATTTTCTCTCAGGACAACAGCTTGATAGTTGGAGGAGGTGACAATAACATTCACATCATGGACATGGAGACTGGCATCTTTAAGGTTAGTTAGACTACAACTTTGTAACTCCAGGAACAATATTTTGAAGGCCCCCCCAGCACAGGCTATGATTTTCCCTCTTGCACTTCTGCTTAAATACCCAAAAAAAAAAAAAAAAAAAAAACGGGCTCAAGAAGAAATATAATAAAATAAATATCTAACAAAACAAATGATTTGACATGTTCTCCAACTATAGAAATTGTTACTGCAGACACACCCTATACTGACTTTGCAAGCAGACATTTTTAAAGAATTGAACATTTTTGTTTATTAATTTCTAAAGATTTTTCTAGCTCTGTACATTAAAAACAACAACAGAGTTGTTATAAAAATTATTTGAGGTACACTAACAGTTGCTTTTGTTTTTGAGCGGACAAATGTGTATATATATATAAATTGTTATTGCAAACAATATAATGTTTTTTTTTTTTTAATGTCTTGGCCCCTAATGGGCTGCATATGCAGCTTTTTAAATAAATAAATTACAACACAGTAGGATCCTCTTAATGTTTGTCCCCTTTGTGTTGTTTGTTCTGCAGTCTGTACTGAAGGGCCACACTGACTACATCCACTGCCTGTGCTTTAAAGAAAGGGAAGGGGAGATCCTCTCTGGTGGGGAGGATGGTGCCGTGAGGATATGGGGTCAGTGAACGACACTGCACTGTTTCTATTTCCCTTAACTCTTCTTTGATTAAGATGAAACCAGGAATAGAGAAACATTATTTAATAAAAGTATATACTTCCTCCACCAGACTCACGGACAAATCGCCCAGTTCACTGTATTGAAGTTTTCAGATACGAGGTAAAACAAATAAGCTAAAACAATGCATTCATGCCTCTAAGAAAAAAAAAAATACAGCACTGAAATCCCACTCTGTCGCTTTCAAACTTGCTCTGGAATGGCGGGTCAGGAATGCGCACGCCCCCAGTTTGGGAAGTGGATTAGCTGTCTTGCTACAGACTCTGATTGGATGGTAAGATGGACTTGTGATTGGTTGGCAGGGACAGTGAAGCTATTGTCTTTATTTGTTCTTGTTTATCTCGTGTCTGATTTTTCTGCATATGCATTGACATGCTTGTTTTTAAATACCTCGGTTACTATCTGCATGCTTGTAATGGTGTACTGCTCCTCTGGAATGCCCCTCTATGTATGCATGTTAAGATGGAATGGCATAATGCCCCTATTGTTATAAAATGTTATATATTTCCTCTCCAGCTCTGTGGTGGAGGCCCATCGCTCTCATTATGGCACCTCCGTTCCATGTCCCCCACCTCTGTCTTCCCTTTGCCCGGCTGTCAAAGGGAAGCTGTCTTTCACCAGGACCTGGTGAGAAAGACTAGTTGTCAATTTAATGTGACAGAAAATGCACAATTTTATATATATTTATATACAATTATTTACATTTTCTAAATAATATGTTGTGGTTGTATTTAGATCATGTCAGTAGGTGAGGGTCCATATGTGTCCCACTGTTTACATGGAGGAACAGTGAAAGCTCAGATTCCCTGCACTCCTTCCTCACTCAACACACTGGCTCTCAATCTCAAAAACACTGAACATAGGGTAGGTGCACCCGTGATTCGCCTTGACAGATTTTTATGTTTTAACAGATATTACAAATTGCAGATATATATATATATATATATATATATATATATATATATATGCAATTTAAAATGTATCTTCATTGGTTATGTGTGTGGAAAGTAAAGACTTGTGAATGGAATGATTGTAACCTTTCCTCAATATTCATCTTTCAGGTTATGACAGTAGGGGGCAGCAGTCACCAAATTGATGTGTTCACCAACTTCAGTTACAGAGCCTTTTCTCTGTCATTTTGAGCACATGCCAACATTTGTTTGAATTTGATTTGAAATCTGTGGCAAATTCTTGAATTACAATTAGCTAGAATGCAACTAAACAATGTATTTTTATAATAAACTTTTTTTGGTTATTGTTCGCAGTTTTTTTTTTTTTTTCAATGTGTGTTTTTAGCTTTTAACCCTGAAAAGGCCTTTGAAGGTGCACTTGGTCGTTTTTGGTGTTACACTAGTAAAATACACAAAGTATAGTATTACTCATGTACATTATTTTTTTTTTTTATTAAAATATACAAAAATTGTGTTAGATTTACAATGTTAATTACTGTATCTAAACTGTATTATCTCTAAGTATTATCATAAGTACATAAGTATTTATTAGTCTAAGGAAATGGTCAAAACATTGGTAACAGAAATGCGGTGAGTAGTATTCAGTTGGTCACGTTGTCAAAACCGCAGCCCTGAGCCCGCATGAGGCGACCCGCTCCATGTAAAAATCAATGTTATTAGGCTGCTGATACTGGAACTGGAAAATTCATTTCATGTATATGTGATAATCATTTTTTTAAAATTTGATTAAAGCACTATTCATTTCTTTATGTGTAAAACTTTTTTTTAATGAACTATTAGTGAGTATTTTTAAACATTTGAGGATAAATTTACGCAATTTCAGATTGAAAATATTTCAATCTCAGAACTTATTGGTCTGCCTACATTACCAGTCAAAAGTTTTGGAAATGTAAGATTTTATGTTTTGTTTTTTTAAAGAAGTCTCTTCTGCTCACCAAGCCTGCATTTATTTGATCCAAAATACAGCAAAAACGGTACAATTTTTAAATATTTAAAATAGCTATTTTCTATTTGAATATATTTTAAAATGTAATTTATTCCTGTGATTTCAAAGCAGAATTTTTAGCATCATTACTCCAGTCACGTGATCCTTCAGAAATCATTCTAATATTCTGATTTGCTGCTCAGAAAACATTTATTATTATTATTATTATGTTGAAAACAACGGAGTAGATTTTTTTTCAGGTTTCTTTGATGAATAGAAAGTTCAGAAGAACAGCATTTATGTGAAATAGAACTCTTTTGTAACATTATAAAAGTATTAATTTCTATAATTTACCCCACCCACCAAAAATACAACTTATGCTGACTCCAAGCTTTTGAATGGTATAGTGTGTATATTGTTACAAAAGCTTTTCATTTCAGATCAATGCTGATCTTTTTATTCATCAAAGAATCCTGAAACAATGTACTCAACTGTTTTAAATACTTATAATAATAATAAATGTTTCTTGAACAGCAAATCAGCATATTAGAATGATTTCTGAAGAATCACGTGACACTGAAGACTGCAGTAATGTAGCTTTGATCACAGAAATAAATTGCATTTTGAAATATATTCAAATAGAAAGCAGTTATTTTAAATAGTACAAACATTTCACAATATTTCTGCTTTTGCTCTATTTTGGATCAAATAAATGCAGGCTTGGTGAACAGAAGAGACCTTTTTAAAAACAATTAAAAATATCACTGTTCAAAAACTTTTGACTGGTAGCGTATACAGCATTTTTATACGCGAATCAAGGCATTATGGCCAAAAATGCGGTTTCTGTATGCAAGCTTCCCAGTTCCAGTGTGTGGCAGGAATGTCATCAGTTGGTGTGTTGCGACAGAATAGCGATGGCAATCGCAGCAGCAACAGGAGTGGCATGAGGAGGAGGAGGAGACAGGGAAACTCAGGCACATGATGAGGAGGAGGATGAGAGTGACTCAACATTCAGGTGCGGCGGCCTCAGAGGGGCGGATCTGATCTCTTCGGCCGCTGAGACACTGTCCGAGCTTCCCCCTGCCTGCAGGACCGACCCGACACTGACCGACCGACCGCCCGCCCGCCAGCAACTTGTGCCAAGTCTTCCGTAATTTCCCCAGCGTGCTCGGAATATGTGGTTTAAAGTGTTTTCGGTGAGCTCTTCTTTAGATCCGAGTTTGATCTTATTATCTAAGAGCATCTGCGGCTAGTTAAGTAGCTAGCCTAGCTGCGTTTCAAAACAACTGAGTAACAAATTACAATCGAGGAGTCGTCGAGTTGAGTAATGGACACAAGTTTGATGCGGCGGTTAAAAGAAACGGAACTTAAGAAGCAGATCAAGGCGAGAGTTCAATTTGAGGTCTGGTAGGATCGCATGTTTTTACAGGTGTGTCCGTTTAAATAGCAACATATGCCTGATTTTGAGTTTCTATGGATACTGCGCGTGACCCTTTGATTTCCATATAGTAAAGACGCAAGGTCGCTTATTTCAGAAGGACCGTCTGTTTATGATAACCTTACACTATAAAGTGGATCTGCCTCTACATAATGATTATCCCTTATTGTTATTTTTTTCCTCGAATTGACTGTTAAATCCGGTTGTACTACACAGTTAAAGCGTCAAATAGTTTCACTTTTAATTTGGGCATGTTTGTATTCAGGAATTTAGCTTTGTTGGCACCGAAAATGATTTTCTCTTCTTGCCTGATAAGCGGAGCTCAGCCTAGGTGTGTCAGTTTCACTTCTCTTCCACCTTTTTTTTTTGTTAAAATTATCACGTGTCTGGAGGACGTTAGTATTTAACCTGCTGCCTGGTTTTAGACCAGAACTGCGTTTTAATGAGAAACCTGTGCCCTCCTCGCGACGGCCGCTCAAGAAAAACACGTCCTTTCCTGTTTTCATGGAACATTTTTGTCAGTTTACTAAATCTCTGGCTTTGTCTTGACTCAGCAGCTAGTTGTATGTCGGCTTTTAATGATTCTGTCCATTGTTTTGGTTTCAATTGTAAGGGGCAAGATATGTGTGGGCATATATCCTGATCTCTGTACCTAAACTCAAGCGTAAAGCTGGTGCATGTGGATTCGACCTGTGTCAGAAAGGGTGTCATTTGTCTGTCAGAGTGGGAGAAGCTAAATTTAGTTCCACAGCTGCTGTCCTGGGTTATAGGGGGAGTAAGGTTATGTCTAATTTCACACAAGATGCATAATGCCTGTCTTGTCCCTTTCTTTTTTTTTCAGGATTAAGGCTTAAAGGGGACCGACAGGGACATTTCTCACTTCCGGTTTGAACCTGCATTCCTACAGTGTTTTGGAGTAGCAGTGATCTTTCAAAGTGTGGGAAGCTACCAGTCCCTGCATGCATCGGTTAAACAGGCGAAATGGGATTGTTGTGACTGAGATGCCATCTGTATATCTAAGAAATCGAGATTTGGAGACGAAACAACTTGGATCTCAAACAAACTGCCCTGTTTTCCGGATGACTTGGTTCCTGATGCACTCATAGCTCTGAGTTATGAGTGCCATCAGCGATTAAAGAACCGCTTACTTTGTAATCTGAGTCATTTGATACTTAACCACAACAATGTGGTAATGTGTTTGCACTTGAGGGCGAGGCGACGAAGAGTAAATTTCACGTAGATTTTAACTGTGGATCCCTAATGTGGGCTAAAGCAATGGAAATATAACTGGAAAGAGGGTTTTATGATGAACTAAAAATATTACACTGAAAGTGCAAACGTGTTACAGACAATGCAAAATCACTGATTCATGAATTGGAATGCACTGAAATCACACTGATGCATCATTTTGCACTTGAGTTTTGAGGAAAACTGGAAAGACGATCGCATGATGCTCACAGTATTTCAGCCAAAACCCTCCGCACTAAACAACCTGGTACTTTAGGACAGGAAACGTGACAGAGTTGAAAGCTGTTGTTTCACGAGGACACATTTTGAACAGAAGAATGGCGGGAAAAGACTACCATCATCTCTTCAAGTTGCTCATCATTGGTGACTCCAGTTAGTATTTTTCTGTTTTTCATACATATGCTAACAAATTTTCTTTTTACCAACTCTGCTATGTAGCCTTTTTTTGAAACCCAGCAAGGCACACACAGTCCCCATAAGAGAATCATTAATATATGGCATAAAATAAGTGATTATTTCTCTAGCACCTTGTACACTAAGAATTCTCATTGTTGTGCAGTTTGACTATTTAACCGCAAACTGGAAAGCTGAAATGAAACTACTGTGTGTAAGTGTGTCATGTCAGTTCTCATCCCTTCAGTGAATTGAGTCACTTGATCAGTTCACTAGTATGAACTTGGGAGGGATGCGTACCGTTATGAATGTTGGGTCAATGTTTTGGTCTGTGAAACTGCTTTGTCCTAGATTGATTGGAGAATTCTGTCGTTTCACTGGATAGTCCAGTTATGACATTTTGATTAAACATTACCAGGTCAAAAACAGTAAAAAAGAAAACATACATGGATGAATTGTTCATACTAAGATCATTAACATGCATTTTAAAAACAAATAGGCTGATTTTATTTTCTAATTTAATGCCATCTTTAACAATCCTGTTTATACATCCGCTTTCAGATAAGGGAACTTTTGTTTGTAAGCAAATATCAGTGGTGCTATCTTACAGTTCATCATGTTTGTAATTTAATTGTGGTATTAACCACAGCTGCCTCATTCAGTCTATTGTGGCCACTTACACGCTAACTGTTCAGCTAGTGGCATGTCTCTGTAGGCTTTGGTTAGGATTCTGGTTGGTTTTGAGCCTTAGACCTCTGAGCATTGTGGCCTTTGTGACAAAAGGACATGTTAAGATTACATTGCATGGTATAGATGGACTATGTGAGATATTTGCTAGAGCTATTTATACTGTGCTGTTGCAATTGTTTTTATTTGTTGTATTTCTAGTTCACATTTTCATTTTTATATATTCATGTTTAACTGTTCATTTAATAATATCTAAATATTATAATCATGTTTTATAAAAGAAATGCTTTTCGGAATTTCTGTCACATTTAATTAAAAACATGTACTAAGGTATCACGGCTGAACATTTAACACATGTTGCTCTGACTCTGTTGCAGGTGTAGGGAAAAGCAGTTTGCTCCTACGATTCGCAGACAACTCGTTCTCTGGTGAGTCTGCTTGGCACAAAGTGTGTGTCTGCGTGAGAAAGACAGAAAATGAGTCAAAGGGTCTGTAAATATATGATCTAATTCACTGTAAATATATGATCTAATTCACTGTTCACAAGTCC